TTGCCACATGTCTGAAATTCGGTGGCACCCCTCACGCAGATCGGCAGGGTCAGGGTCCAAAAACATAAGGGATTTGCCGTATTTCTGAAAATTCGACGGCACCCCTCATGCAGATCGGCAGGGTCAGGGTCCAAAAACACAGTGGATTTGCAGCATTTCTGAAATTCTAGGGTCAGGGTCCAAAAACACAAGGGATTTGCCACGTTTCTGAAATTCGGCGGCACCCCTCACGCAGATAGGGTCAGGGTCGAAAAACAAACAGATCCCGACACTGCTTCACGGCGGCGCCCAGACCTCATGATTTAGCTTTTGCATCTCCCATGATCCGAGACAGGGGGCCAGCGGCATGGGGGGAATCCCATATATATATATATATATATATATATATGTGCATATGTATAGATAAACAAGTTTGTGTATCTATATAAATATACGTGTGCTCTATCTTCCAAAACTGATACTTTCCGAACTATGTTGATTGCCAGGGTAATTATTCAAAAAGTTGATATAACAATGATATATAAAACATCCACTAATTGAATAAACTCCCACAGTGAACCAAACAAATCATTGGATGCTTGCGTGATTTCCTCTGTGGTTGGTGTATGTTTATTGTCTGCGTTCTTCAAATTAATTTGTTTGGTAATCTGTGTTTGTTGTGCATTTGAGTCCCCCACATGGCCACCAGATCTCTGATCCAGACCATTTACCGTCTTCTTTCTCCTCCCCAGGACATAAACTGCTTCGCCTGGGATTAAGCTAACACGTTGACAGCAAAGCGCCGTTGGAAATTGCCGCCCCCATGGTACAGAATGGCCCCCTGCCCTTCCCAGGGAAGGGAGGGGAGGACGAGAATAAGGACGACGGCGAGGACGAGGAGGTGGAGGAAGAGGAGGAGAAAGAGGAAGAGGAGGAGGAAACCCCTATTGCATCAACGATGCTGAAGCACACCCTCCCGTCCCGAGTCCCTTCCTTATGCGTCCCTACAAACCTTTCCTTTTCACTGCAAAAGACGCCCCCTTGAAGACCAGCACCCTGTGGGCCTGCCGTTAAGGCGAAAGCCCCAAATTGAGTAAGGATCGCCGCACATCCTTCCAACGGGCAATACGGAACGCAAACGTGTATGACCACACAGCTCAACGAGGTGTCCAGCGATATCCCCATTTTGAGAACTGCCGCCCCCGTCTGTGCAATTTTTGCACACGCCTACACTTCCGGCAATGGACTTCGGAAAAGTCTCAAGCGCAAACCCTATTTTGACAAGAACACGCCCTCCATCCGTGCAGCTACCACATACGTTCAAGCCTGTGGCCTTAGAAATAACTCTCCAGCGAAAGCTTCACGGTTGAAAAGGAATGGCCCTTTTTCCCTGCAACTGTTGCAACGTCTCGCGACTGCCCCATGGTAAAAAAGGAGCCGCCCTCCATCCGTAGAGCGGTGTAAACTATCAAGGCTAATGCGCGCGGCGCTGAGGCGACAGTCCCATTTTTAAAATCCACCGCCCTTCGTGCTTGCAAATGGTGAAAATTCCCTCTCCAAGGCCATAGATTGCGAGGTCTCAAGCGAAACGCCCGGCTCGCCCCACCGACACGTCAGGCGGCCGAACGAGGAGTTATTGTTTACACGGGCAAGGGATGCAGAAGGATCAGGAGATAGGAGGAGGAGACGGATGGGGGAGGAGAAGGAACGCGGAGGAAGAGCAGCGGCAGCAGCACAATCCTCCCTCCCCTTCCCTCCCCCCCATCCACCCCTCCATCACTTCCGCCCCTCTCCACTCCTTCCTTCCCCGTCCCTCCCTCTGTTCCTCCATTCTTCCCCCCCCCGTGGTTCCCTCCATCCCACAATTTTCATGATAGATAATTCCTCCTCGTCGGATTGCCGGAGATTTCGGCAGGGCGGGCCGGGCATTCACTTGAGACTTCCTCCACGCTGATGAGCACGAAGCTTTAAACACTCGACGGTTACACGGATGGAGAGCGGTTCACGATATGGTTCTCCCCTAGCGCGGCGCACATTCGCCTTAACAAAATCCAAAGCTTGATCCTATTAGGAGGAAGGCGAAGCCTTCCGGATAATAGGCGATCTAATGACGCAGGTGCTTCACACATCACGGACACAAAGAGCACTGCGAGTGCATACTGTGGTGAAATTGGTCCGCAGGCGGCCGTGCCCAGCTTCGTCGACGCCTATTGTGCCGCTGGGTCAAGGCTCGGGGTGTCACGTCCCGGCGGGGCTGAGTGCCTGCCTTCCCGTGGCAGGGCGCCGTACATGGCGCGTTGCGTCGCTGGGCGCCGCACAGCGCGCAATGCTTCGCATTTGCCTGCCGTTTCGCGGCAGGGCGCCACGCAGAGCGCAGGCCGCGTCGCAGCACGCTGTGCCGGCCCGCCCTGCGGTCAGACTGCCTCGAACCATCGTCGCCGCCTCTGCCACGGGCGACGTGGACCTCCAATTCGCGCCTGTTCTGGGCGACGTTCTTCAGGCATCCACGCAGACAGCAGCTTTGTCCACGCGGACTGCGCTCATGGATACCGCGCATGACATCCTTCGAGCCGGGCGGGAACAGAGCACAATCCGGACCTACACCAGAGCTTGGCCCATGCATGTTCACGGCTTCGAACGGCAAGTCGATTCCAGCACCCCCCCCTGTGGATTCGCCGCATACGCCCATGCTCCTGTTCGCCAACGTGGACGGCACGGCTTGGCAAACCATGCGGCTTAAAAAAGCAGCTGTCCGAGCGCGGCACCAAAACTATAATTACAGCCAGGTCGTCGACGATAGCTGGGACATGAGGGCGTCGCAACTCTGGCGAGGCCTGAAGAAGAGAGCTTCCCACTGGTCGCACCGAAAGCGCGCGATCGGCGTGGAAGAGTGGGAGCAATTTTGCGCGACCAGGACAGCTACAGGCACGCCAGCTGGGCGAAGGGATGCAGTTTTCGTGTGATTTTGTGTTTTTTGGCTTGCGCCACGTTTCGGAAGCGATCACCTTTCGCTTTCAGGACGCACATGAACACCTCGCGCGCATGCCGTTTCATCCGGAAACAACAGAACGACCAATGTGGCAAAGGCCACTGGTGTTTCATGCACGTTCAAGCCGATTGCTTGGCTATCCCGGCGAAACTCCTCAAGGACTGGACGGATTGGAAGGCCGCGAACGCGGCGGACGCGCCCGTCCTCTTCTGCATCACGTCTGATTCCAACCTCCAGCCTGTTTGCACAGATTCGTGGCGCAAGGCGGCGTCGTCTCATTTTAATGACCCGGCTGCTAGCGCGCATTCCTTTCGTAGAGGCGGAACGGAATGGTTCACGCACGCGGCAGAGCCACCCCCGCACATAGTCCAGCGGCAAGGGGGGTGGAAGTCGGAAGACGCCATGCGTCATGCGTATGCCGATATTTCTCCAGATACGCTAATGCAGCGTTTTGTTGAGAGCCTGGCCGTCTCATCTGCAAAACAGACGACGGACCAGCCGAGCAAACACGTGCGAGTGAAAACGGCATCCGCGTGCTCGCTCGGATCCCCGCAAAAAAAATATCCGCATACATCCGACACACACCGCCGCGCGGAACACCGCCTCAAGGGGGTTTGCTTCAAGGGGTGTTCACACGGTCGTCGTCTCCTGGTGGCTCCTTCCCTGGTGGGCTGGGGTACATTCGCCCCCTCGATACGATGGAAAAGCATCGACCCACGTCGTGAGCTTGATCCTATGAGGAGGAAAGCGAAGCCTTTCGGATAATGGGCGGCCTAGAAACGCAGATGCTTCACACATCAGGGACACAAACAGCACTGCCAGGGCCTACTGTGCTGGCATTGGTCCGCAGGCGGCCTTGCCCAGCTTCGTCGACGACTTTTGTGCCGCTGGGTCAAGGGTCGGGGTGTCACGTCCCTGCGGGGCCGAGTGCCTGCCTTCCTGTGGCAGGGCGCCGTACAGGGCGCGTTGCGTCGCTGGGCGCCGAAGCGCGCAACGCTTCGCACTTGCCAGCCGTTTCGTGGCAGGGCGCGACGCAGGGCGCAGGCCGCGTCGCGGAACGCGCGATCGCCCTCCCGACCCCCCTGCTTCGCGACGAGACTCGTGCGCAGATGCGGCGATGGATTCGTATCCGGCTTGTGCTCGGCCGCTTCTACCTCAGCTCCCGCTTCTCCGAGGCAACGGCGGGCACGGAAGTTACGGGGAGGGCTCACTGGGTCGTCTCCTGGCGGTTCCTTCCCTAATGGGCTGGGGGCACAGGGTACAGTCGCCCCCCTTGATGCGAGGGAAAAGCATCAACCCACGTCGTGAGACTGCACAGATGTAGGGAGTGGTTTTGAACACATGGCTCGCGCCTTAGCGCCGCACACACTCGTCTCACAAGCTTCCAGCAATAACACGGATGGACGGGGGTGGTTTTGATCATGTGGCTCTCGACGTAGCGACGCGCACATTCGGTTTAAAAAGCTTCCATCACTTGCACGGACGGACAGCGGTTCCTTTTCTTCAACATATGGTTCTCGCCATAACGCCAGCTTCCAAAAGCTTCACTGATGGAAGAATAGGGGTCGTTTCAAAGTATGGCTCTCGCCGTAGCACTGGAGACGTTCGTCTTAGAAGCTTCCATCAGCGACACGAGTAGAAGGCGATGTCTTTTTTTGAAACAAAAAAGGACGACGTTTGCAATGGTTGATGCCCGCCTTTGCTCAAAGCGGGGCTGTCGCTGGATGCTTCCGTGGAGTTCGTGATCCTACCTCATCGCCGTCCGTATAGCCAGAACCATGGATAGCAGCTCCTGTCAAAAGCAGGGCTCTCGCCCGAATTTCAAGCCCATGTGATGCTTGCTGTTCGAGGGGACACTTCCCGCAGTGAAAAAAAGAATCTAGGACTCGGGACGGGTGGGCGTACTGCAGCATTGGTGGCGCATCTTGGGCTTGATCTGGTCTGCCTCCCTCCTCATCCTCCTCCTCCCCCATCCACATCATCATAATCTTCAGCATCAGCATCAGCATCAGCATTATCATCATCATCATCATCATCATCATCATCATCATCATCATCATCATCATCATCATCATCATCATCATCATCATCATCATCATCATCCGCATCATCATCAGCAGCAGCATCATCATCAACAACATCACCACCATCACTATACCATCAGCATGATCGTCATCATCATCATCATCAGCAGCAGCAGCAGCATCATGGTCATCATCATCAGCAGCAGCATCATCATCGTCATCACCATCAGCATCGACATCATCATCAGCAGCATCGACATCATCATCATCAGCATCAGAATTAACATCATCATCATCATCATCAACAGAATCAGCATCATCATCGTCAGCATCGTCGTCAAGTCGTCATTATCATCGTCACCATCCTCCCCATAATCAGCATCATCATCATCATCGTGGCCCTCATCAAAACCACCCTCAGCATCAGCATCGTCACCATCGACATCAGCATCACCATTATCATCATCAGCATCATCAGCATCATCATCCTCAGTAGCATCATAAGAATCAGTATCAGCATCATCATCATCATCATCAGCATCATCATCGTCAGTATCATCATCCGCATCATCGTCATCAACAGCATCACCTTCTTCATCCGCATTATCAGCGGCAGCTGCATCACCATCACCTTCTGCCTCAGCATCACCATCGACACTGTCATCATCATCGCCAGCATCAAAAAACAACGAGAACAACAACAACTACGTCGTCATCATCCTCATCATCAGCATCGTCATCCTACTTATCGTCACCACCATCATCATCGGCAACACCAGCAACAACGACAACCCTTACAGCAACAGCAGCATCATCATCCACAGACTCACCATCATCACCACCATCAGCAACATCACCACCTCCACCACAATCACATCATCATCATCGTCATCATCAGCAGCATCATCAGCATCATCAGCAGCCTCATCATCATCATCAGCCTCAGCCTCAGCATCAGCATCATCATCCGCAGCAGCATCATCAGCAGCATCAGCATCATCATCAGCAGCATCAGCAGCATCATCATCAGCATCATCATCAGCAGCATCATCCGATCATCATCATCCGCATCATCGTCATCGTCATCACCATCGTCACCAGCATCGTCACCATCATCATCATCAACAACAGCATCATCCCCGACACCCTGGGGAGGGGGGGGGGACGGGGCGCAGCGCTGCCCAGCTGCGAGACCGTGGCGGCCAGCACCGCGGCCAGCAGCTGCATGGAGGGCGCCAGGGAGCGGGAGCGGGGCGAGCCCTCGGGCCGCACCTGTCGGGGGGGTGGGAGGGACAAGGGTATGGCTGACGAGGAGGAGGAGGAGGAGGAGGAGGAGGAGGAGGAGGAGGAGGGGGATGATGATAGTGAGGAGGAGGAGGGGGAAGAGGACGAGGTGGAGAGGGAGGAGGGGGGGGGATGAAGAGGAGGAGGAGAAGGAGGAGGAGGAGGAGGAGGAGGGAGGAGGAGGAGGGGAGGAGGAGGAGGCGAGGAGGAGGATAATAGCGGCTACGATGGTGACGGACGGGGGGTGGGGGGGGAAGATGGGATGGTTGTTGGATTCGATGTGTGTTCGTTAGCCCTCGTTCTGTCTTCGTTCCGCCTTGGCTGCAAAAAAAACTTCATCAAAACGAACACGGCCCACGAAATCGCCAAGGCACCGTTTAGCTCAAGCCCTGGGGGTGTGTACCCCGCCTCCTGCTCTGGAGGGGGAACACCCCCCCTCTTCCCCTGGAAGAGAAGGCAATGACGGCGAGGAAAGGAGCAGGGGGGGTAGGGACGACGAGAAGAAGCGGAGGGGGCAGTAGGGAGGGACAGGAGGAGAAGGGAGGAGCCCAGCGTAAAGTTCGATGTCCTGCTAACTGGTTCGAATCCACTACTCACGGAGCGGGAATGAACCGAAACCACGGAAGGCGAAAGCCACCCGAGTAGCGAAGCATACAGGTACGCGTTGCAATTAGGGAGGAGACGGGAGGATGAGGAGGAGGAGAAGGAGGATGAGGAGGAGGAGGAAGAGGACGAGGAGGAGGATAATAGTGGCTACGATGGCGACGGACGGCGAGGAGCAGAGGGAGGAAGAGGACAGAAGGGATCCTCCGTCTCATCCGCCTCCTCCTTCATGCTCCTCGTCCTTATCCTTACCCTCCCCACTGCTCATGCTCCCCATCCTCCCTCCTGATCCCCTCTCCTGATCCACCCTCCTCCTCCTCCTCCTCCTCCTCCTCTTCCTCCTCCTCCTCCTCCTCCTCCTCCTCCTCATCCTCCTCCTCCTCATCCTCCTCCTCCGCATCCTCCTCCTCCTCCTCCTCCTCCTCCATCCCTCCTCCTCCTCTCCTCGCCCCCAACGGGCCAGAGGCGTGCTTCGCTGGCTGGTTCAACTAGTTCGCGTGCGGCCCACTATTTCTAGTTCGCGCGCGCGGGGCGGCCCCTGGGGGTCCCCGGACGAAAAGTACCCCGGCAAGGTCCCGGGAGAAGCCCCCAGAGCGCTCCAGGAACGCACTAACAGGGCCCCGAGACGTCCCCGAGAGTCCCAAGAAGGGCCAAGAGAGTCCCAATAAGAGCCAAGAGCGCCCAAGAGGCCTCCAAGATGGTACACCAAGGATCCGAGATGCCACAAGATCGCTCCAAGACGCTCAAGATAGCCCCCAGACGCCCCACGAGGCTTTCAAGAGCACTCCCAAGAGGGCCCCAAGAGGCAAAATTCATTGCTTTTCCGTAGGTTTTGGGGAGATTCTGGCGTTTTCCCCTTTTCGGCATCGCGACGCCCCAAGACGGCCCAGCCCAAGAGGCCCCCAAGATCGCCCTAAGAGGCCCGAGAGGCCTCCGACAGGGCCCCAAGACGGCCCAAGAGGGTTCCAAGACGGCCCAAGAGGCCTCCAAGACGACCCAAGAGGGCCCCAAGAACGCTCTAAGAGAAGCCCCAGAAGGGGGAACACGAAACAACATTTCGAGCCCTCGGCCCTAAGAAGTCCCCAGGAGGTGCCAAGAGGCCCCTAAGAAGCCCCAACGAGGACCCCAAAAGGCCCCCAAAAGCCCAAACGCCAGCGAGGGCACAATACGGGCCAGCGGAATGAGCGAAGCGATTAAATAGCTCCTCCCTGCCGCACCCAAAAGGCGCGTCGGTAGGGCGGACCAGGCGGTTTGCCTGCGACTTCCTCTCCATTATCTCTGAGTATGAAGCTTGGTATGTGCAACAGATTTACGGATTTAAGGCGAATCGTTGCCAACATGTGGCTCTCGCATTAGCGCCGCGCACATTCGCCGTAAAAGGTTACAACAAGTAGTTTTCTAAATGTGGTTCTCGCCATGGCGCCGCGCATATTCGTCTTACATGCGTGCAACAGCTTCAAGGGTTGAGGGCGGCTCCTTTTTCCAAATGCTGCTCTCGCCTTCGCGCCGTGCACATTCTACTTTAAAGGCTGCGACAGAATCAAGGGTTCGTATGGTTGAAGTCCCCAAGGATGGCGTCCTAGTACGATGTAGAATTGGCATGACGAAACAGTCACGCTGATTCGCGGTCTGGCACGGTTTAGAATGTCAGGGCGCAACAGTCACGTCGATCCGCGACGTTGGAGTCCCAGGAATTGTGCTTTGGCACGATTTAGGCGTCTCCGACGGCTGCCTTCTAATGGTCCAAGTCTCGCAATGAGATGCGAGTCTGGTAGGAGCGTGTGCAGAAGGAACCTGGCGGGAAGGCTTATTGCAGCCTCGTTGATGCGCCTTGGATTCGCACTGGTCATCCTCCTGCTCTTCCTCATCAGATTCATCCGTCTCCTCCCCCCTCCCTGTCATACTCGTCCTCATCATCCTTATCATCCTCCTCCTGCATGTTCCTCCTCATCATCTGGTCCTCATCCCCATCCTCCCGCTCCTCCTCCTCCTGCTTCTCCTCCTCCTCCTCATCCTTCATCCTCCTCTTGCTCCGCCTCCTCCTCCTCCTCATCCCCCCCATCCAAATCATCATCACCACCACCACCACCATCATCATCATCATCATCATCATCATCATCATCAGCATCATGAACAGCAGCATCATCATCCTCAGCAGCATCAACCCCATCATCATCATCATCATCATCCTCATCATCATCATCATCATCATCATCATCATCATCGTCGTCATCATCATCAGCATCAGCATCAGCATCAGCATCATCAGCAGCAGCATCATCAACGACATCAACATCGGCGTAATCATCATCATCATCATCATCATCATCATCATCATCATCAGTAGCATCATCACCATCACCATCATCGCCAGCATCATCATCATCATCATCATCATCATCAGCATCATCATCGTAAACATCATCATTGTAATCATCATCAGCATCACCATCATCAGCATCAGCATCAGCATCATCACCACCAGCACACCATCATCGCCACCATCATCACTATCAGCAGCATCATCATCAGCATCGTCATTACAATCATCATCGTGAACCTCATCATCATCATCATCATCATCAGCATCATCATCATCATCACCATCAGCATCATCATTAGCATAATCATCATCATCATCGTCATCATCATCATGACCATCAGCATCATCACCACCGCCTCAGCATCACCAACATCAGCAGCATCATCAGAATCAGCATCAACATCACCATCATCATCATCATCATCATCATCAGCAGCATCATCGTCATCAGCATCGTCATCAGCATCATCGTCATCAGCATATCTACCATCATCAGCATCATCATCACAATCAACATCACCATCATACTCATCATCAGCATTATCAGCATCAACATCAGCATCATCATCATCGTAATCAGCATCATCAGCAGCATCGTCATCATCATCATGAGCATCATCATGTTCATTAGCATCATCAGCAGCAGCATCAGCATCACAATCAACATCATCATCAGCAGCATCATCAGCATCACCATCATCACCATGACCATCACCATCATCATCTTCATTATCACCATCATCATCATCAGCATCATCACAAACATAATCAGCATCAGCATGATCATCAACAGCATCATCATAATCGGAATCCGAATCATCATCGTCAGCTGCATCATCATCAGCATCATTATATCATCATCATCATCAGTATCATCACCATCAACATAAATATCAGCATCGTCATCATCATCATCATCGTCAGCACCATCATCATCACAGCCAGAATCATCACCACCATCATCATCAGAATCAGCAGCAGCTTCAGCACCATCAGCATCATCATCACGATCGTCATCATCCTTATCATCAGCATCACTAACATCATCATCCTTATAACTACTCATCCTCACCCTCATCATCATGCTCACCCTCCTCTCCCTCCTCCTCCTCCTAATCCTCCTCCTCCTCCTCCTCCCCATTCCTCCTCCTCCCCCTCCTCCTCCTCCTGCTCTTCCTCGCTCCACCTTCTTGCCTCATCCATCTCCTCCCTTCATCATTCTTACCCTTGTGGACCTTATCATGGTCCTCCCACGCAGTGCCTTTCAAGCAGCGAGGAGAGATTGGAGGGAGAGATGGAAGAAGAAGGAGAGGTTGACGATAGGGCAACCCTAGCTCAAGAGCATCGCATAACCACTGCGGAATACTGTGCATACCAAGTCCCAGCTAGCTAAACAGCACCACCTCCGTATGTCTGGGAATCGGTACTCAAGAGTGTTTCGGACGTGACCCGCGCAAGTTTACACTGGAAACAAGGCTTGGACACGCTCCGCCCTCGTCCACTACTGGGCCCGCGGCGCCGACATACTGCCCTACCTGTGGGGGCCTTCTGTGCGACGTTCAGCGAGGACGACTTCGTCGCCCACAGACGCTCGGGCACGCGACGAGTGCCGACGTGGACGCTGGGCACGGCGCGCACTGGAAGAGGCGTGCCAACAATCGCGCTGACGAGCTGGCCAAGAGGGGCGCCGCCAGACATGGCCTTGGCGAGCCCGACGCGGCCCAGTGGCGGGGCCTGCGCGTGCTCGCCCAGGAGGTGGCGTACTGGAGCGCCACCACGGAGGCCTCGCTGGGCGACGAGCCGCGGATGGACCACGAAGACATCCTTCGGCGTCAGCCTGCTGCCCCCGCTGGCGCGAATGCTGGCGGCGCTGGCCCTGGAGCGCCAGCTGCGGCGGATGTTCTTCTCGACGATGGTATTGCTGTCGACCTGGGCAAGCTGCAGACCGACCAGCCCGAGGCCGGCGGCCACCCCTGGGCAGAACCTCCATTGCTCCCGCCCCTCGGACTGTCGCAGCGTGAGGGAGGGGAGGCCAGTGAACAGGGCTCTGGCCAGCTGCGAGAAGGCAAGGAAGCTTCAGGAGATGGAGGCCTCGCTGCTGGGAGGCCTTCAAGGCCACCCGGCGCCAACGCGCTGCGGGGCGCTGAACAGCAGGCCACGGGTCGGTGACCTTCCTGGCGCTGTGGAGGAGCTTCCTAGGTTACCGGACGCAGGCGCGAGTGACAGTTGCCTGGAGTTACGGGGGCTCACCAAAATCCCACCAGCCCTCTGGGCGTAGGTGGTCTAGAGCAGATCCTCTTCCACCCCTCCCTCTTCCCCCTTGGGGAGGGGTTTACCCCTCCCCCTACCCCCTCCCCTGGACCTGGACGGGGGGGGCCGCGGGTAGTTAGAGCGTCCAAGATGGCCCAAGACGGCTCCAAGAGCGCCTCAGAGAACCCAAGATGAGCTCCAAGATGGCTCAAGATAGCGCAAGATCGCTCACGATGGCTCCTAAGATGGTTCCAAGAAGCCCAAAGACGGCCCCAAGATAACTCCAAGTGGCCAAACAGCTCCCCAAGGAGGCCCCGAAGAGGCCAAAATCGTCCCAAAACCTAAGGAAAATCAATGATTTTTGCTTTCTCGCCTTTTCGCTTCCGATGGCCATCCGAGGCCTGGAGATGGCTCCAAGATGGCCCAAGAGGGCCCCAAGAGAGCCCCAAAAGAGCCCCAAGACGGCCCCAAGAGCGCCCAAGAGCACTCCAAGAGCGTTCCAAGAGGGGTCCAAGAGGCGATTTTAGGGGCTTCCGAGGGGGGACGCTAATTAAACCCCCCCTCTTGTTTGATCGACTCCCTCCAAGATGGCCCCAAAAGCGCCCCGAAGGCTCCCCAGAGCGCCTCAAGAGGGTCCCAAGAGGCGCCCAAGATGCCCCAAGGCGCCCAAAAAGCCCTCCAAGAGGCCCTCAAAAGACCCCCAAGAAGCTCCTTCCCCTCCTCCTCCTCCTCCTCCGATTCTTCCTCCTTCTCCGTCCTCCTCCTCCTCCTCCTCCTCCTCCTCTTCCCCCTCCTCCTCCTCCTCCTCCTCCGACGACGACGACGACGACGACGACTCCTCTTCCATCCTCCCCCTCTCGGGGTCTGTGACAGCTTCCCCCGCCCTTTGTTATTCTGCATGCTCCCCGACTTCCCTGATCACCTCAACTCCCCTGAGCATCGTTTCTGGATGGGCTGGTGGGGATACGCGAAGCGTCAACAATTGGGTCCAGCGCTGCTGGGCCGCCATGGCCCGGCCTCGGCGACCTCGCGTTCGGCCAGGGCGAGGCTGTGCTGTCCAGGCACGCGTGGAGGGAGTAAGGCCATGCGCTGCTCCGCTGCGGGCTGGTGCAGAGGCCCGAGGTGCGCCTGATCTTCTGCCTCGGCTCTGGCGCGGTCATGACGTGCAAACGGCCCAGCAAGTTCCTGAAGGATCCCTGCCTCGCGGAGCCGCTGAGGCTCATGCGCCAGCTCAGGTGGCCACATCATCGCGGGACCCACCGCGGCGAAAAGCTGGTGGTCCCGACCGCCCCGAACCACGAGGATTAGGTCGAGCATGTACCCCTACAGGCTGATTTTGGAAGCAGAATGAAAATATATTCCATAAAAAACGACAAATCTTCCCCAGACTATCTTTGACTATTTCTGAATACTTCCCCTGCAGAGGGACATGCCCGACTTAACACGAGAAGCAGCTCGACCTGTCCGTGGACCTGCTGAGCAGCCAGGTCGTGGCGGGCGGCAGCGAGCAGGGGGGCAGCAGGGGAGCACCAGGCGAGCGCCGCCAAAGTGGCAAGCAGCGCAGCCACACCTGATACAATGCCACGGCATCATTATCACCATCATAATCATCACCACCACCACAACCATCATCATCATCATCATCATCATCATCATCATCATCATCATCATCAGCATCATCATCATCATCATCATCATCATCATCATCAGCATCAGCATCAGCATCAGCATCAGCATCAGCATCAGCATCAGCATCAGCATCAGCATCATCAGTATCACCATCAGCATCATCATCATCATCATCATCATCATCATCATCCTCATCATCACCATCATCATCATCATCATCATCATCACCATCAGCATCATCATCATCAAAGTCATCATCAAAATCATCATCACCATCACCATCACCATCATCATCATCATCATCATCATCATCATCATCAAAATCATCATCAAAATTATCGTCATCATCATCATCATCAAAATCATCAGCATCACCATCAGCATCATCACCATCACCATCACCATCATCACCATCATCAACTGCAGCATCACCTGCGAGTCCGACATCGAGGAGGCGCACCAGCTCGGGCGCGCGGCGGCTCGGGCGGCCGCGAGCCTCGGGAACGAGGCCGACGAGTTCGACGTGGGGCACGACGCCTGCTGCGAACGTGGGCCCTGCAATGCCCCTCGGATGATGTTTGGTAGGTCGACGAATGTTATGAATGCGAGCCGTGTTACTGTCGTCACCATCGTCACCATCATCATCATCATCATCATCATCATCATCAGCAGCAGCAGCAGCATCATCAGCATCATCACTATCATCATCATCATCATCATCATCATCATCATCATCATCATCATCATCATCATCATCATCATCATCATCATCATCATCATCATCACCACAATCATCATCATCATCATCAGTTTCATCAGTTTCATCATCAGCAGCATCAGCATCAGCATCAGCATCATCGTCCACGTCATCAACATCATTATCAGCAGCAGCAGCAGTAGCATCATACTTATCATGATCAACATTATCCTCACCAGCCTCGTGGTCGTCAATGCCGACATTCTTATCGGCATTATCAGCATCATCATCGCCGTCGTGCATCGTGACCGTGATCACAGTCATCATCAATAGAACGATGGTTACCATAACCATTATCATCATCATAATCATAATCAGCATCATCAGCATCATCAGCATCATCAGCATCATCAGCATCATCAGCATCATCGTCAACATCTGCATCGTCCTCCTCCGCCTCCTTATACGCACCCTCATCATCACCATCATCATCATCATCAGCATCATCATGGTCCTCCTCGCCGTCGTCAGCATCATTATCGTCTTCATCATCATCAGCAGCAGCATCGTCATCTTCATCATCATCTTCATCATCATCATCAGGGTCCTCACCAGCATCAGCTTCATCAACATCGTCATCCTCATCGCCATTATAGTCACCCTCATCATAATCAGAAGAATCAGCACCATCATCATCATCAGCAGCATCATCACCCTCATTGTCGTCGTCGTCATCACTGTCATCATTGTCGTCATCATCAGCATCGTCATTGACATCCTGTTCGTACTCGTGATCGTGAGCATAATCACCACCTCATCATTGCCATCATAACCACCACCACCAAAACGATCATCAGGTTGCTCATCATCATGAGCATCATCATTGTCATCGGAATCGTCATTGTCATCATCGCCATCATGGTTCTCGTCGTCATCCTTATCAGTATCCTCATCAGCAGCATCAGCATTATTATCATTATCAAATTCACCATCATCATCCTCATCCTCCTTATCATCATCGTCGTCACCACCATCATCATCGCCATCATCATCATCATCATCAGCATTCATCATTATCATCGTCGTCATCATCATCATCATCATCAGCATCATCATCATCATCAGCATCATCGTGATCATCATCATCATATCACCATCAGCAGCAGCACAAATATCGAAAAAGTCATCATCATGATCATCATCAGTATCATCGTCATCGTCATCAGCTTTACCATCATAATCGTCACCATCATCACCACCACCATCATCATCAGAATCGTCATCATCATCATCATCATCAGCATCATCATCATCAGTATCACCATCATCATCATCAGCAGCACCATCATCATCATCATCATCCGCAGCAGCATCATCATCGTCATCATCATCGTCATCGTCATCATCATCATCACCACCACCTTCATCATTCTTATCATCATCAGTATCATCATCACAATCATAATCCTAATCGTCAGCAACATCCGCATCATCATCGTCATCATCATAATCATCATAATCATCATAAGCAGCATCATCATCTGCATCAGCATAAGCATGAACATCAGCATCCTCCTCATCATCATCATCGGCGTAACCACCATCATCATCAGTATCGTAGTAGTCATCATCATCATCATCATAAGTATCAGCATCATTATCATCAGCATCATCATCATCATCGTCATCATCATCATCGTCATCTCATCTCCTCTCTTCCCCCTCCTTGACCAAGGCCCGCGTCCGCGACTGGAGGAGTGTCCAGGCGGGCGCGCCGACTCCAACGCGAAGAAGAGGCCGGACACTGGCGCGTTGAAGCCCGCTGCGATGCCGCTGGCGCAGCCAGCGGCCAGCAGGTTCTGCCGGATGGCGAAGTTCGCCCGCTCCCTGGAGAGGAGTTCCTCCTCCGCCAGCTCCTCTAGCTCGACCCACTCCACCTCGTCCTCCTCCTTCTTCTCCTCGTCCTCCTCCTACTTCATCTCCCCCTCCTCCTCCTCCTCCTCCTCCTCCTCCCCCCTACCCTGCAAACCATTCAGAACCTTCCAGAATTTCCCAAGAAGCCTCGGAACCCCCCCCCTCCCTCCTCGAAAGGCTTCGGAATGTTCGGCACTATTGTCTGCAACTGTTGGCGTTTCCCAAAACTCTTTCATGAATTCCGAAATATCAAATGCCTCTGGAGGTTACTGGAAATCTTCAGAGCTTCGCAGGAAGTCCAGAGGTATCCGCGGAGGGGGGCTGGAACAAAAAAAGGGGACCGCGACAGACTCCTCACCTCTGACATCCTGACAGCCCTCGATGGCCAAAGCGTCCAGCCGCGATCATGTTGACCGCGAGCCGCTCTCAACTGTTACATTGGCACGATTGGGATGATCGCCTCGACAGGTGAATGATCATCTGCTCTTAGCACCTGCGCTTTAAGGGGGGCGCTTGCAGTTGAACATGAGGTTCTTCGCACGAACGTGGCCACAGCAGACTATGAACTCCACATAATCAGAACACAAAGCAACGCAACGCGAACCGTACGCCGAAAGGCGAATAGACACAACTATGGCATGGAATGCCGGCCATGCCTGCGACATCACGGAAGTTCTCTACTCTTGCAGCAGCATGTTCAACGATCTGATGAACCCAATGCTTACTCAGACGCCGTAACTTCTTTGCATGCGTTCCTGTCGCTGACGCGTGCCATTGACTACGCGCAGCTACGCGAAACACAATCGCACCCAGCTTAAGCCATCCTGGGCAGGATCCAGGCGGGGAGAATCAAAGTTCTCCTACATCTCCAACAGGGCTGATTCAAACCTTCGAGCCTCGATAATCACACAAGCACACCGAAAATTCCAGAAGGGGGAGACCTTGGCCCACTGGGATGGCGTGGCCAATTTCTTCGTATGGCCCGCTTATCGCTCGCGCTCAACATCCAGACCGAGTCGCAGCGGCGGCCATTGAGGGAGGACCGTGGCAACCAACGAAATCACGCAATGCGAGACAACTTACTGATAAGAAGGGTACTCGAGGGAACCTGCATCTGCTCGAGGATGATTCCAAGGAGCACTTCGCGAAATTATCCACCGATATACTTTCAAGCCGCGAAACAGCCCTCGGATGTGGAAGCCAGACGGGCACACAGACCTGAACCATCCAAGTCGTGGCGACGGGGTCGAAGAGCGTCACGGCCAACCCACCCGAAATAACTTCACAACATGATGATACGAGCACGACCCGTCCACGAAAATCGCGTCAGTAAAGACCCCGCATCGGGAGACGAGGTGCTGAAAGCCCTCGCACACGTCGGCGGCAACTCCTTCTTCAAAAAGAGGCTGGGACGGGAAACTCTGCCGCAAGATGTGCCAGGACACCGTGAAAACGCGAGATCGTCCTCGGCCTCAACTGCCACGGTTTGGACCTTAGCAGAAAGAAGGTCGTCCCCAAGCTCCGAACAAGCAGGGCAGGACCAGAGACGGCTGCGAAGCGTGTCACATGCGTTCTGACAGAGTTCACAAGCGGTTTCGATGTTGTGCCAAGGTTCCGAGCACAAATTCTGATACACATACCGTTACACCCGAATGCAAGCTATGTGAAGCAGAAGGAAGCTTCTGGGTATAAACCACGATAAGATTCGCCACCGTGCCTCGAGGCACCAAGGGGGGAGTGTCCTCAGCTCCCTTTGAGCTCTCTGCATTTCGTAATTGCAGCAGCGTGTTCAACGATTTTATGAACCCAGTGTTTATTCAGGCGCCGTACCTTCTTTGCATACGTTTCTGTCGCTGACACGTGCCATTGACTACGCACAGCTACGCGGAACACAATCGCACCCAGATTGGGCCATCCTGGGCATTGCGTAATGTAAGCGCTCTGTAGGGGTCCACCACCCAGAGTTCTGAGCGCTCTCGGGCGCTCCTGGGGGTTGCTCGCGTGACTTTTCCAGAGGCCAAGAGCGCGTTGCTCGGGAATTGCATTTCCAATATGGCCAAATACGGCCCCGAGGACCGTCCTGGAGCCCTCTTCGATGCCTCCTGGGCCGTTCTGGAGGCCCTGAGGTTGTCGCATTACCTCCTTTTCGGCCTTCAGAGCGTCCAAGAGGGCCCAAGAGGCGCCCGAGATCGCCCAACAGCGGCCCAAGAGGCCCCCAAGAGGGGTCCAAGAGGCCCCCAAGACAGCCCCAAGGGGGGGAATACGAACTGACATTTTGAGCCCTCCGTCCAAGATGGCCCCAAGATCCCACCAGAGGCCCCCGAGGTGCCCCTAAGAGGCCCCCAAGAAGGCCCGAGAGGCCCAAATCAGACCCCAAGAGGCCCCCAAGAAGCCCCGGAGACGCACCCAGACACCCCCAAAACCGCCACCAAGAGGCTTCCGAGAGGTCTCCCGATAGATCCTCACAGGCATCCAAGGGGCCTCTGACTGACAACCCAGGGACGGTGCCGGGATGGACCGAAGGGCACTAGGTCCGCCGCCCCCTGTGGTCTTGCTACAGGAGTGTGCCTGGCGTGCTAGATCCTACTGGTTTGGTTTGGGTTCTCTTTTGAAAGAACTCCCCCTGGGGCTCTGGCCCAGCGCGCAGGCCACTCGGAAAGGCGCACTATCCCGGCAAAGCAACCTAACAGCGATGTGTCTAAGTATAACTGAAACATGCAGCAGCAGTGAGAGGCACTGTGAGACCAACAGTAACAGTAATAGTGATGCAAAAGCTGTTGTCATCGTCGCGCTGAGATTGATTCCATGTGTTGTCAAACAAGGTACTGCCATGGACGCATGTCGCTTGAATGACTACATGTATAAACGAGACACTGCTATCAACGCACGGAACTGGAATAGATATATGTCCAAACGAGACACTGCTATCAACGCGTGGAAAATGAATGGATGCTTGTTCAAAGGAGACATTGCTATCAACGCATGGAGTTTGAAAGTATGTTTCTCCAAACGAGACACTGCTATCAACGCACCGACCTTGAATGGATGTCCGTCCAAACGAGACACTGCTATCAACGCTGGGAACTTGAATGGATGTGTATCCAAACGACACTCTGCTATGAACGCATGGAATCTCAAACGATGTATGTCGATGAAAGCGAGGACGGCCTGTATGCATTAGTGTGTGCTTATCTTGTGATGTTGTTTTGGAAGCGCTCATGTCTATCATCGTTTGCACAGCAGACGGGGATGCTTGCATCTTCTTGCGCACAGGTACAGTCGGCATCTGAAGCGAACAACCGGCTGCAGGCTGAGAGGCCTCGCAAAGAGTCGCAGGCTGAGAAGCACCGCGACCGCGCAATTGGAGACTGAAGCTAAGGCTAGCATACAGGAAGCGCAGGACGATAAGCACAACGCGACAACCGGCTGCAGACTGAGAAGCACCGCAAAAAGTCGCAGGCTGAGAAGCACCGCGGCCGCGCAAGTGGAGGCTGAAGTTAAGGCTAGCATACAGAAAGCGGCAGGCTGAGAAACACCACGCGAGAGCAGGCTGTGACGCACCAAACTGGCCGGGTCATCATGCTGCAACTCACGGTTCCTCAGGCTCGTGCAGGCCAGCCTAAGTCTTGTCGAGCTTTCGCGCAAGCGATCTTCGTCGCGGCAATCTTGTCCGCGAAGAGCTCGGCGAAAGCCTTGGCGATTTGTTCGGGAGGACCGCCTTCGATGATGCTCCTGTCAGGCAAGCCGTGGCTCAAGAGTTGTTTGAAGCTTCTGGGGCGCGACAGGCTGACGTAGTAGGCAAGCCAAATGGACTCCTTCTTCAGTCCGGGCGGAAACGTCCAGTGGACGATGAAGCCTGGATCCGCCGTCTTGCCCTGGACGCCATGCAGAGTCCCCTGCTTCTTGGGCAACACGGGCAACTGCGTCCTGGACACCGCGATGGCCGGGCCACCTGTCTTCGCCTTGAACTTCCACGGGCGCGCCTGCGGTGTGATCGCGAGCACTCCGCGCAGGTCAGGGCCGGCAGACTGAGAAGCACTGCCAGCTGTTACCTTCGCGGCCTTCAAGAAGAGTTCATCGCTGTCATCGATCTTGACATACACAGCCTTTGGCATGTAGTAGAGTACGACCACACCGTCCGATACAATGGACGGCCGGCCCTCCAGCGGAGGCTCCAGAGCGTGCAGCTCTATGCCTACCACTTTGCCTGGCGCACCGCGGACATACTTCGGCGGCAGGACGGATTCCGTCAGGATGACTTCCATGCCAATGAAGAGCGGCAGCAGCCCTGGCATTTTTGCGGTAGCGCCGATGTTGGGCTCCGCGCGCATCTCGTCGAAATCAGGCTTCGCGAGGCGCGCAGCTGGTCTGTCGATTGCTGGCACGTAAAAGAGCAGCTGGCCAGCATCGTGCGCATCAAGCTTCGCCTGTGCATGCATGGCGTAAGAGACGATGCGCCACTCATAGGCCGACTCGTACCAGCCTCTCGCTGCACGCAACCGAGGATCCCATTGAAGTGGCTGATCGGCTGCGCTGTTGCTGGCAGCAGGCTGAGCAGCACCACCAGAGCTAACGATTTCTGTTTTGACGATCGCCTGCCAGCTGTCGTCAGAGATCTTTTTCCCGCCTGTAGTTCGCATAGCGTGGAGAACCTCGACTTGCAACGGGTCCGTAAAGCGTTGCATCTGCACGAAATCGATGACGTACTCGATGTCGGCGAGCAACTTCCTACCCTGTTGGTGTTCGTAGGATTGGCCCGCGTGAGGCGCCAGCAGGGAAGCGGTGGCGGGGACTGGCGGCAACTGGTAGAAGTCCCCGCACAAGATCTTCACAGGCATGCGTCCCCACGTCTCCTGCGGGCGCATGTACTTCGTGGGGTCCAGGTTGTAGCGCAACGCCCTGCCGTAGGTCGTGCGCAGTGCATCTGCATGCAGCAAAGGCCCCGGCACAGCACCCAGCTCATCGATCACGTC